GGAGATATTCCCAGAGAGCAGCGGCTGAGCCCCCCTGTGCCAGGTGAGCTCCCTGCAGGTGCCAGGGGGTGACTCCTGGTTTTGCAGCACAAATGCACAAGGCTGGAGCTGCAGGGGTGCCAGGCCAGCTGTGCCATCCTTGGAAGCCAGCAGGAACCCCCAGGAATTGGATTCTGATGTTGTTTCCTTGCAGGAGCCTCCCTGGGGAAGCAGAGCCTGTGGCTGTGCACAGCTGGAATTCTTTGTGCTGCTTGCTGGTGTTTTTGACCCTCCTGTCCCGTAAATCCCATAAACATCTCTGCTGGATGTTTAATTTGAAGCTTTTTTTCAGCAGGGAAAAGCTCCAGACCTTGTGGGAAATGGATTTGTAGAGAATTTTAAAAGTTTAATAGAAGGTTCACGTAGTGTGCATTTGTATGTAAACCTTGAGATTAGAAATGCTGACTCAGAAATATTATAAAATAGGAGAAATATTTTAAAAATAGGAGAAATATTATAAAAATAGGAGAAATATTATAAAATATTATCGAGAGAAATGGAATTAGAAATAAGTTTCAGAAGACAGTTTTATAAATACGACTAGATATTTTAGAGAAATAGAGCTATAAAAGATGTATTGTAGTAAGACTTATAAACAGTAATTTTAGATAATTAGTTTTAAAGTATTTACAACACAGTGTAACAAAAGTTGATAGGCTGAGAAACACTTATAATGTATTATAATTGAGAAATAGTTTTTGATTGTGATAGTGTAAATTATAACATTTGTTTTATTTTATTTCTATGAGACTAAAAATAGAAAAGAAGTTTTTAAAACACACTTTTTGTTGTTGTTGTTGTTATGAAGTGTTATTTTTAACACTTTAATTACCTTTATTTTTTGTTTTTTGGCTTAATGTGACAGAGCTGAGCTGTCAGTGAGTGGGGGCTGCTCCACCTCTCCTGCTGCTCCCAGTTCCTGAGCCTGGAGTTGGGCGAGGTCAGGCCTGAGACCCCAGATCAGGCAGCTGCTCCCCACAGGCACTAGGGGGGCAGGCTGGACATGGCAGGAATTGCTTCCTGGAAAGGCTCTGGAAGGGGCTGCCCAGGGAAAGGTTCTTCCCCAGAGGGTGCTGGCACTGCCCAGGGAATGGGCACAGCCCCGAGGCTGCCAGAGCTCCAGGGATGCCCAGGCTGGGATTGCTGGGGTGTCCTGAGGCCAGGAGCTGCACTGATGATCCCTGGGGATCCCACCCAGCTCAGGAAATTCTGTGATCTACAAGGACTTTCTGACTATGAAAAAGTTCTAAAGTGATTGAAAGGTGTTTTGGTTTTTTTTTTTTTTCCAAATGGATGCTCCTGCTCAGCACCTCCAGCACAGCTCAGGTTGGGGATGCCCCTTCCTTGCCCCTGGAATTGCCCACCTTGGCCCCAAGCGGGTCCCAGCACCGGGAGGTGCTGCTGAAGGCAAAGCCCCTTCAAGCAGCCCCAAGACCCCTCCCTGCCATGCAAAGCTTTCAAAGTGAAGCTCCAACCCCAGCCCAGCCCCACGCCCTCTGCTCCTCTCTCATTCCCAAGGGTTGGATAATTACCAGCTGCAGAGGAAATCCAGATTTTCCTGGGGTTTGTCCCTGAGCCACAGGACAGGATCATCCCTCTGCATGCTCCAGAGGTGTTTGTTTTGGGATTTCCAGGCCTTTTGCCCCAGGGGCTCTTCCCAAAGGGCAGATTCATAATTCCTCCCTTCTTGTTCCTCCTCCTGGGTTCCTTTTCCCCCTTTTTGAAGCCCTCCCTTGTCACTTGTGGTGTGCAGAGATGTCTCTAATAAAGAGTTACCAAGAGTTCAGGCAGAGTTCTGGAAATTCACAGCATTTCCATGCTGGAAAAGTCCAAGGCTCTCAAGACCCAGGAATTCCCAGTGCTGATGATTTTGCAGCTTGCACAGCACCGGGTCACCTCTGGCTGCCCAGATTCCTGTTTTCCTGTCCCTCGTGTCCCACCACTGAGTTCTCAGAGGTCAGGCTTTCCTCCTTTCCCATTATTGCAGATGAGACAGGCAGGACACGGAGATTTTGGAATCCTGAGGAAACCATGAGGATGCTCTGAGCCTGCTGGCAGGGCTGGGGCTGGAGTGGGGAAGGCTCCAGAGAGACCTCAGAGCCTGTTCCAGGGCCTAAAGGGGGTTCATAAAAAAGAGAGAAAAGGACTTTTGACATGGACAGATACTGACAGGACAAAGGGGAACAGATTTAAATGAAAAAAGGAGAGATTTAAATTAGATCTTGGGAAGAAATTGATCTTGTGAGACAGGGAAGGCCCTGGCACAGGATGCCTGGGCACAGCCTCCAGCTCTGTGCCCCCTCCAGCTGGGTTGGACAAAAACATTTTGAAACCTTTAGCAAAGGTTTAAAAGCTCAGCCTGCCCTGGTAAAGCTGCACCTAAAGCCACGCTCCCAGCAGGGGCTGCTCTGGGGGGAGCCTCATCCAAAAGTCATTTTTGGCCCCATTTGGGAATTGCCAGCCTCATAGGGATGTCCTGGGCTTTGCCATCCCCCTGTGACAGCCCTGCAGACCTGCCGGGCTGTTTGGTTTTCAGGCACAAGGTGGCAGTGAGGGAGCAGCT